TGAAATAAAAATGAGGGGTCCCCATGTTCGTTTAGGAGCAACAGCACCTTGTTTATACCCAATAAATCCTTATAATAGCACCAAGTGTGCAAGTGTGATCCACTTTTCTAAGAGTGTCCCATTTTTTCAAGTGTTACCTATTTTTTTAAATTGTGACCCATTATTCCAAGTTTGATATATTTTTTGACGTGTAGCCCATTTTTTCGAAGTTTTGCTCTTTTTTCCGAGTGTGACTCCTTTTTTTTCCAAGTGTTACCTTTTTTTCAAGTGTGAACCCCTTTTCTAAGTGTCAAATGTTTTCCAAGTGTTACCTATTTTTCAAATTGTGACCAATTTTTCAAAGTGTGACATATTTTTGGAAGAGTGGCCCATTTTTTGAGCCTTGCTTGTTTCCAAGTGTGACTTTTTTCCAAGTGTAAGCATTTTTCCAAGCGTAACCCATTTTAAGCATTACCTATTTTTCCAAGTGTGACCCATTTTTCCAAGTGTGAGCCATTTTTCCAAGCGTGACCCATTTTCCAAGAGTGACCCATATTTCCAAATGTGACCCATTTCTCCAAAGGTGACCAGTTATTTCAACTGTGACCCATTTTTCCAAGTGATCCATTTTTCAGTTTTAACACATTTTTTTCTAATTTCAGCTATTTTTTAAAGTGTTGCCCATTTTTCCAAGTGTGTCTCTTTTTCTGCAAGTGTGTCTCATTTTTTAAAGTTTGACCCATTTTTAAAAGTGTGATCCATTTTTGCAAGTAAGATCTGTTATTCCAAGTGTGTCCTATTTTTACAAGTTTGGCCCCTTTTTTTACAAGTGTGACCTTTTCTCCAAGTGTGACCCGATTTGCCAATTTTGACTGATTTTTCTGATTGTGACATATTTTTTGAACTGTGACCTATTTTTCGAAATTTTGCCTTTTTTCCAGTTGTGGCTCCTTTTTTTCCCAGGTGTGGCCTATTAATCAAAGTTTGACCCATGTTTCCAAGTGTAATCCCTTTTTACTAAGTGCAACCCATTTTTCAACTTTGAACCAATATTCTAAGCATGATCCATTTTTCTAAGTGTTACCTATTTTTCCAAGTAAGACCCATTTTTCCACCTGTGACCCATTTTTCCAAGAGTGACCCTTTTTTTAAGTGTGACCCATTTTTCCAAGTGTAAACCATTTTTCCCAGAGTGCCCCTTTTTTCCAAGCCCATTTTTTTCAAACATGAACCACTTTTCTAAGTGTGACCCATTTTTTCAAGCGGGACTCTTTGTTCTAAGTGTAATACAATTTTTCAAGTTTTTCCTAGTTTTCCAAGTCTGACCCACTCTTCCAAATGTGATCCTTTTTTCCAAGTGTGTCCTATTTTTTTAAGGGTGATCCATTTTTAGAGGTGTGCCCTTTTTTCAAGTGTGTATTATTTTTTCAAGTCTCACACATTTTTTTTAAGTGTGACCCATTTTTTCAAGTGTGACCTATTTTGCCAAGTGTGACCCAATGTTCAAAGTGTGGCCCTTTTTTTCAAGTGTGACCCAATTTTTTAAGTGTGACCCTTTCGTCTAAGTGTGACCCATTTTTCCAAGTGTTTCCCAATGTTCCAAGTGTGACTATTTTTTCTAAGTGTGACGCACGTTCTTAAGTGTGACCTATATTTCCAAATGCGACCCATTTTTCCAAGTGTTATTCAATGTTTCAACTGTCACCATTTTTCTAGGTGTGACCCACGTTTTTAAGTGCGACCTATTTTTCTAAGCGCGACTTTTCCAAGTGTGACCCATCTTTCCAAGTGAGACCCTTCTTTTTAAGTTGACTTATTTTTCCAAGCTGTAACTCTTTTTCCAAGTGTGACCCATTTTTCCAAGTGTGGTTAATTTTTCCAATCGTAACCCATTTTTTCTGTTTGGCAATTTTGCTCAGGAGCATCTCACAAGAAGCCGAACAGTTACTTGGAAATTAACTCCCTTAGTTTAGCACGTCTACATCTACCTCTTCATTTGTTTAGTCCTCAGAAACTATATATATACTATATGCAGTTATACAGGAAATACAAAAAATGAATGTTCAATGAGTGTCTTTAAATTTCATAAAGATACAGCTAAAATTTACAGCAGATTTTCTCCTGAAAATCATAGCAAACCCAAGAATTATTCTATAAATGAGTAGACCTAACACAAACGTTTTTGAAGCTGTTCCAAATAACTCGTAGCATGTGTTTTATGGGGTTTAAAACACTCAGCTACGCCTCGTGTTTTAAATCCGATAAAACAATGCTGCTCGTTTTTTAAACATTACTTAAAACATCGAATGTAATAGAAAACCACTCATTAAAACTTGAAAATAAAATAATGATAATGATACTAATAATTCTAATAAGAATAATAATAAATAAGTAAACAAAAAATAAAAAAAACCTAGCAATATCTAACCAAGTACACTTGCAGCTTGTCTGATGGGAAGTTCGACGTTTGACCTGGCCCTTACTGTCGAATGTAAATAAAGATGCCGTCTTAATTTAAAGAAGGTCCCGATATCCGCCATCCTTGTCCTGGCATTACACCTAATGTGTAAGCGATTTGAAAGACGTTGCTTTGATAATTTAAATTTCAGGATAAATTGTCTTAGGTTTTGAAATCCAACTTGCTGTAAGCCTCCTAGGCAACTTGCCTATGGCTCGTCACGATTGGTTGACGGGTCTAATTAGCATCTTTGATTTTGTCTTTTGTTTTACTCTGTGGGAACGGGAATCATTGATTTACTCGGTTGTTAATCGTGCGTGTTCCAACACATCGAAATCACAACATTGTCTCAGTCCTAGACTGATTGAAAATATATATATTTATCATATGTCAAAGTAATATTCAGGTAGATCAGAGCGTTCTGATATTGGTCCTCTTAATCCATTTTTTTTCTTTTTTTCTTTTTTTTTTTTTTTTTTTTTTTTTTTTNTTTAGAGCGTTAAATATTCCGAAACATGAACATTCTACAAGTAAGATTAATACAACTAAGTCTGCCCCTGCATGTTCACTGTTTTGTTTTGTTTTTTTTTTCCTCTTTTTTTTTTTTTTTTTTTTTTGTGCCCTTTAATAAGCTACTTAGTAACCCATCTTGCTGGAGCCTAATTGGGAAATATTGGCTATCCAAACTTTTTGCACGTACTACCACGACCTCGGGCCTATAATCCCCAGTACGGCCCTCTCGTTCGGTCAGTAACTTTTTTTAGTAACTTTTTTAATTATTTATTTTTTGGTAAAGCCATACGTACACAGTGCTGAATCGAAGTATCCTTGGTAGTTGTACCATTCTGACTTTTGCAAATTATATCATGTATGAGGAAGGCATCACTTGGTAACAGTCAAAACTTCACAAGTAAGTCCTTCTGAATCTTATTCTGCAATTGTCATGAGCGAGCATTCTGTAAATTGTCTTTTCAGTATGACGTCGTGCAGCTTAGCAACGTCCAAACAAAAAAAATATAAATTGTCAGAGACGGAAATCACACTGCAGTAAACACTTTTCTGCCGACCGCAAACAACTTTGCAAATTCTTCAATTCAGATCTTTTCTCATGTTTCGTTCCTGGTGCATGAGAAAGTCTCGGTGGAGAAGTTTGAGCTCCAAATAGCAAGCAGCAAGCGCAGTACGGTATTTTTTAATTTTTTTTTTTTTGATATTAATTTCTCTAAAGCCCTCTTTCCGTGGCGACAGATATTGACCCTCCGATGCTAAAGATCACTTCTTCCACCTGATCGTTGCTAATTGGGAAAAGAATAGATCCTCGGATCAGATCTGAACGTTTTTCAAAGGTATTTTGCTTAAAATTACATATAGCTATGGTCACGTATAAAATGACTACTTCACGCTATGTGGAAGCCTTAATAGAGCACGTTCGATATATTAACATTCTAACATTGCTCCGAGGCTTTCAGGACAAAAATTTATATTTCGTGGTCTGTCCTTTGCCAGGTGCTTCTCTTTTGGGGGTCGAGGGACAAAAGAAACATGAAAATTGCAACTTTGTCCTAACTTAAAATATTGATATATCGAACGTGGCCTACTAATCCATTGATTAACATTATTTTGATCCATACTTTTTGTTTTACAGGATACATGTATATAAAAAAGCTGTTCATTGTTGTTTTAGAGACCGCGTAGAATAGGCCAAAACAGAGGAGAGCGATTTATGATTTTTGGAAAGATCAAGATCAAAGATTGTCACAAATGTCCCTGAAAGATGTCACAAAAGCTTGTCAGAAGAGCGCCTATACAAACCAAAAGTAAAAAAAAGAGACAAACATTTGAACTAAACATCCCAAAAGTCAATCGTGATCGGAAATCGGTGTTTGTTTAGCCTTCCAACTTTCTTCTTACAAAAATAGGTTTTCGGAAATCGTTCTATTTTGAAAGAGATGTTTAACAGTGAGGTTTTCAAACAAGAGCCAGTAATGCAAAAATATGAATCTAAAACTTTAATACTGACAGAAGAGAATGTTACGAAAGTAGAAAAGAAATGACCCAAAAGTGCGTTATCCAGTGATCGGATGGCGGTTTTGATCTTAGATCATTCTGCTTACATTGCCTTGGCTTGCTATATTTTCCATTAGTGCAAATACATAACCCCATCGATATGACTCAGTGATTAAATCGCTAACGGGTATGTTCGGGAGACCCAAATTATAATAATTTATATCTATAATTTCTGTGATCTATTTTTCGTTGAAACACTACTTTAAAACTGTGCTGAAATTTTATTTATGCAAACTTCGATGCATACAGTTCATTTCTATTTACAGTTTGGCGAAAACTCGTTTTGACAGACTTAAGATAACTCTATTTTTTCTTTAGATAATTGAATAAATATATTGCCTCACATCGAAAAAAAATGCCCTAATCATGTCAAGCAAGTCTATTTACTTTTCCGCGAAACGAGTTGAATTGTAATAATCTGGCATTTGTTAGAGATTTTGAAAAAGTTGTCAACAGATTAAACTGATAGATTAGAGAGGTTTTTTGTCGCGAGCGCCAAAAACTAAACGATATATCGAATTGACTGCCAACCTCCCAATTATGATTAACACAATTTTTTCTACGATCTCTTCTCTTTTCCGTATATATATATGACTAGTTTTTACTTCTTGAACTTGAACAGAATAAATCTTTAAGAGCGCTCAACCCACAGAGGAGCAGTAATTATAATGGTCAATAGTAGCAAGATTTCAATTCATCGTCTTATGACTAGTTTTTATATATGTAGCTGTACTTTGAACACTTTCAGGTTCCTTCTTATCATGCGGACACAACAATCAGGATTTACCCAGGTTCTTTTTTTTTTCGGTCCACAGCGAGAAGGTCAAATAACACGTAAAAACCGATTGATCACGACTTGCTGCGAGACATCCCACGTAAAAAAGGAAAACATCATTTGCACTAACTTTATGACAACCTTACGTGTTTTGAGAAAGTATTATTTATTTGAAAATTCCTTCAAAAATAGTACAAGAACCAAAAACTTAATGTAAACCGAAAGTTGGCTCCAAATTTGGCTTAAGGAAGACAGACAGAAACTTGGATGCTATAGAGGTGTCGAATCACTTGAGGTAAACCTTGGGAAGAGTCACAAATTTGCGTCATTATTGTTTAACATAATGCTAAAAAAATAAAGTCTGAAAACAAAACATTTTGTCGGAGAAAATCTGACGCCTTCCTCTCCTTTCTAGAGCAACTGGGATATGCTCTGATTGCTAATTACTCAAGTTGTTAGAGTGGAAAGTAATACGAAACTACGATAACATTTTGCATTACGCTGCCTACTATTATTGTCAAATATGCCAGTGAGCAATGGCTGTCGAAAACTCATCAGACTCCAGGTCAACTACACTATACCTTTAGCATTTTAAACAAAATGTCGAAGATTAACGAAAAAATTGGTGCAGTTACTTAAGGTACCGCCAACCATAACATTTTTCGCTTTCTTCGCTAGGGGACACTAATACAACGTCCGCCTCCCCCTGAAAGGGCAACATAGCACAGTTCTTAGTTATTAGGTACATTAACCTTCATAACAGACACATGCAAAATATCTCCGGACGGACTCTACTCGGTTGCAGGTCCGGTCGTTGCTCAAAAAATTGTGCGTAGTTATAAGAATCAAATAGTTGCATTCTACGTGTATACCTTAATCTTTGAATAAAACAGGCTTACCAATTGAAGATAAAGGTGTGGTACAGTGTTATGGTTACGCGCCCTAGGCGGGACTTTGATGCAGAAGCTCTAATCACTTGAAACACGAGCATTACGAAATTGCAAATTTAAAAAATAAAGCCGCCAAAGAGCAAGCATGAAGGAAAAAAAATAAATGTATTATTGTCATGCAAGCATTTTAAAATGATTTTGATCGAGTTTATGGCCGTTGAGCGGGGTATATCAAAAGCACCTGCCAAAAAAATATTTTCTGTGTGACACAAAATTCTTTTTGTTTTTTTCAAATACATGCTGACAACCAAAAATATATTTTTTTAACATCTTAAGGATCTAAATTTAACCAATGATAAAAGAAGTATTGGGTTCAACAGCCAATAGATCGGAATATAGGTCATTTATTATGCAGACAACACACAAAGCACAGAATAAAAACACTTTGGTGAATCTCGTCAAACGCAGGATTCTTGACATTCCCTTAATGAGGTTTCTAAGTTTTAAAAACTTATTTTTGCCTCGAAATTGAGATTCCCGCTCAAGGTATTGCAAACATCACAACATTAACTATTTTTGCCTGAAAAGTAAGTCCAGTTGAATATATTTCGAGTATTACAACTTTTACAAATTTCTATTTTTTCTTTAAACTATTTTAAAAATTTTTTCACACTTTTTATGTACAGGTTCTTATTCAAGCGTAAATTCATCGACCACTACAGTGGCATTCGCGGACTTAGAAGTGAAATAAAAGGTATGTCTATGCATTGCTAACCAGGAAAGAAGATAAAGTTTCTAGAGTATACGTGGTAATTAAAAAAATATACATAGCTGCAATCAAACAAGATACACACAACATTATTTACAGAGAAATTTCTGTCTGCAACGCAGGCTATGCTGAAAGAATGACAGGCGGAAGGAGTGAACAGAGATTTGAGGGATTGATGACTGTAGCCGAAATTTGACGAACATTATATTTGAGTTGTTTCAGGCCATGATTGAAAATATATGCTTCAGAGCGTCCATCCTCCCAAAACAATCAGTGGGGGCTTGCACCTGCAAGGTATCCAACGAGATGTTAGCACTTGAGGTTTATTTTCTCCCAGTAAAGAATGCCAGAAAAGACAATATGGAGTGGTTTCTTGGAATCCCATCAAATCGATGCTGACATTTTAAATGCGATCTGGCGAATAATCTTTATGAATTTCCATTTTAGAGAGACTGAATGTAAATCTCCTACGCTCATTGAAAATATTATTTTACTTAGGCTAACCAATTTAGATTTGTCAGTATGGTACTGACCTATAGCTTGTAAGATAATTCAATCCTCTCATGTAGCAATATGAATCAACTGAAGATACATTTTTCATTAATTTTTCAGGATTTCTTCTTGTTTATAATGTCGGAGCGATGGCTTTAAATTGTTCCAAGCGTTTCTTTTAAAATTAAAACACCGCTTTAAACAAGAGAACGGTAAAAAGTTTTGAGAACAGTCTTAGTCAAGGAGGGCCTCCGTAAAGCAAATTATTAGCAATTTGACATAAAAAAAATCGCTTGAACGGCGAATTCAGTGAGGTGAAACTCTCTTCGATTTAAGTAATTGCATAACAAAGGTAGCTATTAGCAGGAAATCTATGAAGCAATCGAAGATTAGCCACAACACAAGCTTCAGTGTATCTACGTTCCTGAGAAGAATCATATAGTTCTGTTACTTATTTTAATCTTCAGATCTATTTGTTTAAGAGGTTACTTTTAAGGTTTTATCCGTAGCCAACGAAAATTCAGGTGACGCTCGCATTGCATGCCGGTCGACAGAGAGTCTTAAAGGCATGCGCAGCTTATAAAACATGTCGACGCCCAAGCATCGATAAAAATGAATCCTTCACATGCACAGTGTTCCTCTTGTGAAGCCATCTTAAATCTAGTAGAAATACCTGACGGGGCACGGGAACATGTCATCGAAAGGCATTATCCTTTTACACTTCACGAGGAAATTGATCCGGAGCGATCGCTGTTTTTTGAAAATGCTATATCGCCGCAGAGTCTCTTTAACACAGTTATTATCCAGCTTCAATCAGGTTTGCAAGCAAGTAGGAAACAACGCCATCGGTATATCTACTACTACTCATTCAATTTTCCAGTTGGAATCTTCCCTAACCGACAAGGCGGCTTCTGTAAAACTAACTCGATAAAAATCGTCTGCAACTACACTATGTGTCGACAATGCGATCGACATTGGCCAAGCACAGTAGTTACAATTTATCCATGCATGAAACCATTCATCTGAATACGAAATACTGTTAAAAGTGTCGTGAGTTCTAGTTCTGCAGGCTGAGAAGTTATCAAGCTAACCAAAGAGAACGATTAACAGCCATTAAGACAAAGATGAGTCGAATGGAACATTTGCGTGCTGAAAATTCCTGCTCAATGTTCACTTGAGAAGTGCTGACTTCTCCACAATGGTCTGCAGTTTCTAGTGACTGATTTACAAATTATTGATTGCTAACCTTGTTGTGGATAACAGAACTACAAAAGTACAATTAATTATTTAACTCTGCTCAGCTAACTACAACATCGATAAATGAACGCACATTAAAAATAAGGAAATAGTAATAGTAGGTATTAATGGCAGGGTCATCTCAATAGCGAAGTTAATCTAGTGGATGAAGCACACAGAGTAAAACAAATTTCTTTAAGATAAAAAGTATCTCTTCATATGCTTGGCTATAATTAATNAAGGCATGCGCAGCTTATAAAACATGTCGACGCCCAAGCATCGATAAAAATGAATCCTTCACATGCACAGTGTTCCTCTTGTGAAGCCATCTTAAATCTAGTAGAAATACCTGACGGGGCACGGGAACATGTCATCGAAAGGCATTATCCTTTTACACTTCACGAGGAAATTGATCCGGAGCGATCGCTGTTTTTTGAAAATGCTATATCGCCGCAGAGTCTCTTTAACACAGTTATTATCCAGCTTCAATCAGGTTTGCAAGCAAGTAGGAAACAACGCCATCGGTATATCTACTACTACTCATTCAATTTTCCAGTTGGAATCTTCCCTAACCGACAAGGCGGCTTCTGTGAAACTAACACGATAAAAATCGTCTGCAACTACACTATGTGTCGACAATGCAATCGACATTGGCCAAACATAGTAGTTACAATTTATCCATGCATGAAACCATTCATCTGAATACGAAATATTGATAAAAGTATCGTGAGTTCTAGTTCTGCAGGCTGAGAAGTTATCAAGCTAACCAAAGAGAACGATTAACAGCCATAAAGACAAAGATGAGTCGAATGAAACATTTGCGTGCTGAAAATTCCTGCTCAATGTTCACTTGAGAAGTGCTGACTTCTCCACAATAGTCTGCAGCTTCTAGTGACTGATTTATAAATTATTGATTGCTAACCTTGTTGTGGATAACAGAACTACAAAAGTACAGTTAATTATTTAACTCTGCTCAGCTAACTACAACATCGATAAATGAACGCACATTAAAACTAAGGAAATAGCGATAGTAGGTATTAATGGCAGGATCATCTCAATAGCGAAGTTAATCTAGTGGATGAAGCACACAGAGTAAAACAAATTTCTTTAAGATAAAAAGTATCCCTTCATATGCTTGGCTATAATTAATTGTGCAATTGTCAAGCATAGAGTTCTTAAGTGTATTACGAAAGATTGAAAATGAATTTGACTGAGTAAAATTCGTTTGCAGGGAATTTTAAAGACGAGAACCATGCAATAAATTTTAGGGAACATAATCCAAATTGGGTTTATTCACTGAGTTTATCGTGCAGAATAGGGATGAGCTTAAGAGGTAAAATGAAAATAGTCATTGAAACATAGAAGTAGCAGCCCAGATGATAATTGAAAAACGGAGGAGGGTACCTGTGAGTAACAATATCGTTTAAGGTTAAGTAGGTTGAGACATTTGAATACAGGTTGAGAATAAGATATCACATCAGGGAAAGAATACTGTTTAATTTCTTTCTTATATATAACAGGTAATGGTGTTACAACTTAACGAAAAATTAAACGCCAGACATGGACTGACTATAAGAGAGGAAACGATAAATAAGAGGGTAAAGAAGCATAAGAAGAATGCTTCTATTGACAAGATGTTCACTTAAGACAAGACACCAACAGTTGTTTAAAGCCTAAGACAACGTTCCTTGATATGATCTTCATCTTAAATTGACGTCAAATGTTACACCTAAATACTTTGCATGGTCAACTTGTATAATACATTCGTCGTCTGTTTTAATATCAAATGACTGATTGGGCTTTGGTTTCTTGAAATGAAAAACAATAAGGTTGTTTTAGATATCTTGAGTGCTAAGCGGCAATTGATCAGAGTTCCTGATAAGGATTGCATTTTATTTTTTCCAAGGTAGTTAAGGTTTTAACTTAAAAATTAAATTTAGTATCGTCGACAAATAAATAAAATATTACGACGCTAGAGGTGTTGGTATGTCTAGAATGGATCATTGAGGAACGTACACTACAAGTCACTGGGAGGAAGTTGAGTTATCACCATTAACACTTACAAATTGCTCTCATGCAATAGATAACATTTCTACCATTCAAGCACATTGTCTCAGATTTATCAAATAGAACTGCACAATTAACAGTATCAAAGGCTTTCTCCAAATCACTTAATATACCACAACCAAATTTACCATTATCAATAGATTGACCGATTGATTCAGTGCTGGAGCTAAGTAATGGTTGTCGAACATTGTTTTCTGCAACCAAACTTCAATGGAAAAAGTATTTTAATTCCCAGATAGCTATAGAGGCGATGATCTAAGTATTTTGCTAACGTTAGAAAGGACAGAAATTGGCCTATTATTGTCTTTGTCAAATCGTGAGCCTTTCTTAAAGATCTATCCTTGCTAATTATATTTCATTCATCAGAATAATTGCCACTTGTAAAGGAATCCTTAACTAAAACTGTAAGTGGCCATTTGCATGGTTTCTTTTAGATTTAAATATGGTAACTAATGCACTATAGGAAACTTGGAATTCACATTATTGATCAATGTCCCAATTTCAATTAAGTGACAGGAGATTGAAAAAGATTGATCCTTCGTAGTTACCCCGATGTAGAACAAGCGCTTTTGATGGGGGATTTCCTTCTCAGTAGTCTCACCGACAGTAGCAAGTAAGTTATTACAATTTTAGCGAAAGCTGTAAGGATCGGCAACAGTTTTTTTTTTTTTTTTTCATCAAGGATGAAAGGTATATAACCATTTGACATTTACCAGCATTTAGATATGACCTGAGTGAATTCACTTGAAGTAAACCTTAAGAAAAGTCACAAATTTGGGTCATAATTGCTCAACATGATGTTCAAAATGTCTGTCGAGGAAAACAAAAGCATTTTAATTACACGTTTCGTTTTCTGGAGCGATAGTTAACTGGGGTATGTCGATCATGCCGTATTGACTATTAGTATTTTGCTGGTCTAAATGCTAGCTTTTGCTAGACTGAAAAGCGATATGAAACTACGATAATCTGTGTAACGTCACCAGCTGTTATTTCAAATATGCCAGCCAGTAATAGCAGTAATACAAACAGGCCTCACTCCTTCTACACCAGACGTATTTCTGAAGTAATCTACTAAGATATAGGAGAGTATAAAAAAAAAATTGGTGTAATTGTTCGTAAAATTTTCCCACCAAACATTTCGTTTTTCTCATCTCTTCGCTTGTGACTCTAATAGCTCGCCACAACAGCTTTTGTTATTGGTTATAATGTTAATCATAGCACAGTTTTGACCAATCGAGTGCATTTTAAAGATTACCTTGGTATCAGATACAGTGCAACATCGATCACGTGGCTTTAATATAATTCAGACTTTTCCCTTAACCCACGAGATTTTCATTCGTCGTTCAATTGCCTTCTACGTGAGCCTTATTCTTGGTAAAAAGGGGGCTTAAGCTGTAGAACGTAAAGGTGTTTGAGGTACAGTAGTACAGAAAGGCAGAGACGAGCTTTTGTCTAAGAGAAAACAGTAGCACAGGTAGAGTATGTAAGCTCTCTATTTGTCTTCGCTTCCTGTAAAGAAAAAAACGGTGCAGCTTCTTAATAAAGTGGTACTAGATTCTCAGGAACAACAATTGCTTACCTCATTAAAAAGTTGTGTAATGGTAATTCTCGCAGCCTGATAATCTGATAATTTAGCTAAAGACAAATCAAAGTATGAAAATCACAAGAACATTTTACTGTTGTCAAAGTAAGTAGTATGTATACCATTCTCTATATTGACATGGATAAAAACTTAAGAAAGTTTTTGCTTGCTGAATGAACTATTGAGCTAACTGATAACTTTCCAACAATTAACTTCAGCTGAACTTCACTGTGCTACCATTTGCTCGGCCACTTTCGGGGGTGCTTTGGGCAAACTCTAGTGTTTGCTCATAGTTGTGGATTGGAAGGTTGAAAGGTACAATTCGCCAGCCACGATCTATTTTGTAACTGCCAAGTTCATACCATTTTCATTTATAAACTGGTTTTCATTGCTAATATTTTGAGGATTTCAGCATCAGTCATAGTCAAAAGTAAAAGACTCAAAACAATTACACATAAACGCATTACAAAGTCAAAATTCGCGCTCGCGCCTTACCCGACAGCTTTTTATATTCCCCCATCAATTCAAGCGAGACATGTAATCAGGATTACGCAGATATTGTTACATTATGAACTTGCACTATTTTGTATAAATGCTTGATACGTTTAGCACCTTATAAACTGCGCAGCTGCGAAGACAACGATGGCCAATGACTGTTGCATAGAAAAATTGGCTCCATGGGAGGGACTTTGCGAAAAATTTGGGTAAAGCCATTTTTCGTACAGTAGGAAAAGACAAAAGTTTAAGAATGGATGGCATCTCCAGTGTTGAAAGAATTAGTGCCACTTGCATTTCACAGTAGTGTCAGTTAACACCCAACCCTTGATTATTCTGGATATCAACAAAAACCTAATCCAAAGATATTCTATCATTTCATCCCGTGAGGAAATACCCTTTTAAGTGTAAGTGGATTTGGGCTGTTTAAGTACTTTATCTATATGGGCGGCGGTATGTGAACTGTCCAGTGTGCTTCAACCCTGCTTTACCAGCAGTAATCCTTGACCCTTCCCCCTTTCTTCTGTGTGATGCTATGAAATATCCATACCCACTCAAAAAGGTGATCTAGTCACTAATGGGGCTCAAATATCTTTTGTGGTAGGGGTACATGTATTGATATTTTCTGGAACAACACTTCCTGAAAGAAACCCCCAAAAAGAACTAACATTAACTGAGTACAGAGTTAATGGAAATACCTAGTTCCATGCATGGTAACTTTGTTGTTGATGATCTATTGATAGTTTGAATGATATTATTGTTTGTTACCCTTTCTCTTTAGATATCGTCCAAAGGTGGTGCATTCTTGACCTTTTGAAGGACAAATTTATATTGCAAACAAGCCTCCATCAATCACATGACTGGGGAGTGCCAACAGCCCAACATACAGCTACACTAGTCGTTGTCTATTTCAAGAATGACCAATAAAACTGTTTCTTGCCCTTATTTTCTATACTGTAATGGTAACAATTTATATCAATCAGTTGTCTGTACCTGTCGGTATGTTTCAAAGCATGAATAATTAGCAATTTAAATTTTTAAATGGTTGCAACCACTCACCGAATGGATGTTTATGATTGTTATTGTTCGACTGGACAATTTTATCGTTGCAACAAATATGGGATATTTAAATATTAAAATAGTCTTTTTTTTTTACTGGGCCTAGGTGAAGTTTTCCGACAGCTTCACTTTTACGAATTACTACTAACACTCTTTATCCGGTGATGCTACAATATTGGTATCACGCTAATGCCCGGTCATTGGTGCACCTTTAATGGTAATCTTTACGGCTTAATATGTTATGTTAATAGGCAGCAATACAGGCATTAAATTGACAAGTTAAGGTGGCTCTCAACCCCCTTCTTAGAGTTTATTCAAACTTTGCAAAAAGTTGCATTTTACCATGCTTATCACAATTCGATATTAAAAAGTGGTGACCATCAAGCTCGTTTATCCAGCACTTAGAGCTAAAATTATAAGTGTTTTCAGCAGGTTGTACTATTACTATAGTAACTTTTTATATAAAAAAGAGGACCAATAATTGGACATTTTTGTGATACAATTATTGTAGGATCATGTCACAAGGGGGAAATATTGATTCATCAAAGTATAATTTATGGAAAAAGCAAGAAACTTTTGTTAGCCTGCAGAGAATACAAGAAATTACATAATCCGCTAATTTGTTCTAAATTGCAAGATAAAAATCGTAGAGCCGTTTTCAAGTGAGTATAGAAAAGTAATCGGTTTTGCATAGCAACGCTAAGCGATTGGCTTCAGAAACTCGCGCCACTTTGTCATCCAATCAGAAGTAAGACCAAACCAATCGGGAGTCACTTGCACTTGTTTTCCCGCGCCTCGCGTCAGCTGCATTATTTGCCCCGAGTATTGATTCTCTGTGCTTTGTGACTGACAAACGTGATTACCTTTGTTCTGGCTCTCTGAGCTTCTAATTGGATAGTCGGGCTGTGATGTTGATCGAAACAAAAACGTACGTCGACATATTTTTCGAACCAGACAAATAATAACAAAAAATGAGTTAAATATACTAGGAATAAAGCGTTAAGGGTAATTTCAATTTTGTTTCAAAATTGTAAATATTTACGGAAGTTTGTAGACCTAAGTTCTTGTTTTGGCATCAGCCTGACTAGTCCCAGGTCCTAACCCCCTGCGGTTTCTGACCCAACCGGAAGGGAAAGTTCATGTTTTCCTGTGCCTGAAACCCGGTGAATATAGAACCATATTCATTTTCCATTCTCAGACAGATTGCTAATCAATTGAAATGTTTACATGAACAATTTGGCTACGAACATAATATTTTCTAGAGTTGTTCTTACATTTCAGCTTCTTTTATCCATTTCGGCGAGATGATAGAATGGCTCAATTGAATTGAGGGCGGAAAAGCAGCTTGATACATGGCGTGGCACATAAAAAGTATCACCCACCGAAAGAGCAATATTTATTTTAAAAAGTAAGCGCAATAAATTTTTTAGGCTTATCAAACAAAGAAATTTGACAACGCGAAATGCAAGTGGAACCGCGCTCAAAAATCGTCATTTCCTGCCACGGTATTCTGGTTGATGAAATGGCGAAATTGAGATNCCGACAAGGCGGCTTCTGTAAAACTAACTCGATAAAAATCGTCTGCAACTACACTATGTGTCGACAATGCGATCGACATTGGCCAAGCACAGTAGTTACAATTTATCCATGCATGAAACCATTCATCTGAATACGAAATACTGTTAAAAGTGTCGTGAGTTCTAGTTCTGCAGGCTGAGAAGTTATCAAGCTAACCAAAGAGAACGATTAACAGCCATTAAGACAAAGATGAGTCGAATGGAACATTTGCGTGCTGAAAATTCCTGCTCAATGTTCACTTGAGAAGTGCTGACTTCTCCACAATGGTCTGCAGTTTCTAGTGACTGATTTACAAATTATTGATTGCTAACCTTGTTGTGGATAACAGAACTACAAAAGTACAGTTAATTATTTAACTCTGCTCAGCTAACTACAACATCGATAAATGAACGCACATTAAAACTAAGGAAATAGCGATAGTAGGTATTAATGGCAGGATCATCTCAATAGCGAAGTTAATCTAGTGGATGAAGCACACAGAGTAAAACAAATTTCTTTAAGATAAAAAGTATCCCTTCATATGCTTGGCTATAATTAATTGTGCAATTGTCAAGCATAGAGTTCTTAAGTGTATTACGAAAGATTGAAAATGAATTTGACTGAGTAAAATTCGTTTGCAGGGAATTTTAAAGCCGAGAACCATGCAGTAAATTTTAGGGAACATAATCCAAATTGGGTTTATTCACTGAGTTTATCGTGCAGAATAGGGATGAGCTTAAGAGGTAAAATGAAAATAGTCATTGAAACATAGAAGTAGCAGCCCAGATGATAATTGAAAAACGGAGGAGGGTACCTGTGAGTAACAATATCGTTTAAGGTTAAGTAGGTTGAGACATTTGAATACAGGTTGAGAATAAGATATCACATCAGGGAAAGAATACTGTTTAATTTCTTTCTTATATATAACAGGTAATGGTGTTACAACTTAACGAAAAATTAAACGCCAGACATGGACTGACTATAAGAGAGGAAACGATAAATAAGAGGGTAAAGAAGCATAAGAAGAATGCTTCTATTGACAAGATGTTCACTTAAGACAAGACACCAACAGTTGTTTAAAGCCTAAGACAACGTTCCTTGATATGATCTTCATCTTAAATTGACGTCAAATGTTACACCTAAATACTTTGCATGGTCAACTTGTATAATACATTCGTCGTCTGTTTTAATATCAAATGACTGATTGGCCTTTGGTTTCTTGAAATGAAAAACAGTAAGGTTGTTTTAGATATCTTGAGTGCTAAGCGGCAATTGATCAGAGTTCCTGATAAGGATTGCATTTTATTTTTTCCAAGGTAGTTAAGGTTTTAACTTAAAAATTAAATTTAGTATCGTCGACAAATAAATAAAATATTAGGACGCTAGAGGTGTTGATATGTCTAGAATGGATCATCGAGGAACGCACACCACAAGTCACTGGGAGGAAGTTGAGTTATCACCATTAACACTTACAAATTGCTCTTATGCAATAGATAACATTTCTACCATTCAAGCACATTGTCTCAGATTTATCAAATAGAACTGCACAATTAACAGTATCAAAGGCTTTCTCCAAATCACTTAATATACCACAACCAAATTTACCATTATCAATAGATTGACCGATTGATTCAGTGCTGGAGCTAAGTAATGGTTGTCGAACATTGTTTTCTGCAACCAAACTTCAATGGAAAAAGTATTTTAATTCCCAGATAGCTATAGAGGCGATGATCTAAGTATTTTGCTAACGTTAGAAAGGACAGAAATTGGCCTATTATTGTCTTTGTCAAATCGTGAGCCTTTCTTAAAGATCTATCCTTGCTAATTATATTTCATTCATCAGAATAATTGCCACTTGTAAAGGAATCCTTAACTAAAACTGTAAGTGGCCATTTGCATGGTTTCTTTTAGATTTAAATATGGTAACTAATGCACTATAGGAAACTTGGAATTCACATTATTGATCAATGTCCCAATTTCAATTAAGTGACAGGAGATTGAAAAAGATTGATCCTTCGTAGTTACCCCGATGTAGAACAAGCGCTTTTGATGGGGGATTTCCTTCTCAGTAGTCTCACCGACAGTAGCAAGTAAGTTATTACAATTTTAGCGAAAGCTGTAAGGATCGGCAACAGTTTTTTTTTTTTTTTTTCATCAAGGATGAAAGGTATATAACCATTTGACATTTACCAGCATTTAGATATGACCTGAGTGAATTCACTTGAAGTAAACCTTAAGAAAAGTCACAAATTTGGGTCATAATTGCTCAACATGATGTTCAAAATGTCTGTCGAGGAAAACAAAAGCATTTTAATTACACGTTTCGTTTTCTGGAGCGATAGTTAACTGGGGTATGTCGATCATGCCGTATTGACTATTAGTATTTTGCTGGTCTAAATGCTAGCTTTTGCTAGACTGAAAAGCGATATGAAACTACGATAATCTGTGTAACGTCACCAGCTGTTATTTCAAATATGCCAGCCAGTAATAGCAGTAATACAAACAGGCCTCACTCCTTCTACACCAGACGTATTTCTGAAGTAATCTACTAAGATATAGGAGAGTATAAAAAAAAAATTGGTGTAATTGTTCGTAAAATTTTCCCACCAAACATTTCGTTTTTCTCATCTCTTCGCTTGTGACTCTAATAGCTCGCCACAACAGCTTTTGTTATTGGTTATAATGTTAATCATAGCACAGTTTTGACCAATCGAGTGCATTTTAAAGATTACCTTGGTATCAGATACAGTGCAACATCGATCACGTGGCTTTAATATAATTCAGACTTTTCCCTTAACCCACGAGATTTTCATTCGTCGTTCAATTGCCTTCTACGTGAGCCTTATTCTTGGTAAAAAGGGGGCTTAAGCTGTAGAACGTAAAGGTGTTTGAGGTACAGTAGTACAGAAAGGCAGAGACGAGCTTTTGTCTAAGAGAAAACAGTAGCACAGGTAGAGAATGTAAGCTCTCTATTTGTCTTCGCTTCCTGTAAAGAAAAAAACGGTGCAGCTTCTTAATAAAGTGGTACTAGATTCTCAGGAACAACAATTGCTTACCTCATTAAAAAGTTGTGTAATGGTAATTCTCGCAGCCTGATAATCTGATAATTTAGCTAAAGACAAATCAAAGTATGAAAATCACAAGAACATTTTACTGTTGTCAAAGTAAGTAGTATGTATACCATTCTCTATATTGACATGGATAAAAACTTAAGAAAGTTTTTGCTTGCTGAATGAACTATTGAGCTAACTGATAACTTTCCAACAATTAACTTCAGCTGAACTTCACTGTGCTACCATTTGCTCGGCCACTTTCGGGGGTGCTTTGGGCAAACTCTAGTGTTTGCTCATAGTTGTGGATTGGAAGGTTGAAAGGTACAATTCGCCAGCCACGATCTATTTTGTAACTGCCAAGTTCATACCATTTTCATTTATAAACTGGTTTTCATTGCTAATATTTTGAGGATTTCAGCATCAGTCATAGTCAAAAGTAAAAGACTCAAAACAATTACACATAAACGCATTACAAAGTCAAAATTCGCGCTCGCGCCTTACCCGACAGCTTTTTATATTCCCCCATCAATTCAAGCGAGACATGTAATCAGGATTACGCAGATATTGTTACATTATGAACTTGCACTATTTTGTATAAATGCTTGATACGTTTAGCACCTTATAAACTGCGCAGCTGCGAAGACAACGATGGCCAATGACTGTTGCATAGAAAAATT